AGCACAGGCTTGCTCCATCTGTGCACACACCATCTGGGTGCCTTCTTCCGTTTCCATGCAGCTGCAGGTTTCCTGCTGCATATGTTCAGCCTCCCACAGCTGGAAGCAGTAAGAGGTAGTTTGATCTACACATTATACACTGGAAGGATTGAAGTTTGAAAATTTTTAGCACTCTGCATGCTAGCAGGCCGACAATAATCTTTATTGACTGGTTTGCTCACTTTGTGGTTGCCATTTTCATCCTCCTATGAGCAGATGCTGCGACTCCTTTAGGAAGAAAATGCTCTTATCACTTTGTCACCTCACTGTCATGAACCTCTGTCCACCACTTGCTATTTTGTGGAAAGAAAAACCATCCCCGGCATTGCTTCTGTCCATCAAGAGAAAGGGCTGAGCTGGCACTTTGCCATATGTGGTGAGTGTAGGTTGGTACAAACTGTCTGAGGTTTTTTATAGTGCCTATCACCAGAGTATCAAAGCACTGAAATATTGTTCGTGATGTTTGCCTCCCCACTGATCTTCTCACCAAAGGCCAATCCTACTGGAGACCATTGGTCTTCCATGTGGTATTGCTTAGAGGGTTTGTTTTGCTAGATGGACTGATCTGCAGCCAGCATTGGGATAGTCTCTAACTCTGGGGTCAGATTCCAGGCTTTAATTAATACTGATGATAAACACACTGCTTGTAAGGGCTTTATGTAAGGTGACTTTAGTGCAGCTTATAGATGTGTTTTCTGAAATTAATTTGTTTCATGTTGTGAAACTTCCAGTGCCTAAAGAGGTCTATGGACACTGTATGTCTTGAATTGAGCTTTAAAAATCCTGTGACAGGTGCAACTCATGTAAGAAACATCGCAAAAATAGATTTTTAAGAGGTCTGTGATATTTAGAAATAGCTGACTGTACTATTCCAAGTTGACTTGCAGTTTTCTCAAGGATCTATATAATAATTACATTAGACCTTTTAAATTTCAATATATTTTCATGCTTTGGCACTCCCCAGACACATTGAAATAAATCTTGTGGGTTATTGCATGTTGCAACAACTGGGTGCGTGCTACTGTGGTCAGTTTTAATAGGTATTAATACAGTGAGTAGCAAGCAAATTATAACTGTTTCACATTAGACATAATTTTACAGCAGACAATTTTATAAGGAGAATGGAATGAATCAAATTCAGTAATTTGTATTAAAATATCTTTTACATTCCCTGTGTTCCAGTGGAACTGATGACAAGCCTAGAGAAGCATGCTAGGACAAACAGACCAGAAAATTAAATTCTTCTAGTTTTCATATGCCGCAGCAGGAATAATTTGCTTCTCTTTTTTTTTTCCTCAGCTTTTCATTTTTCTTTTTGAAGAGAGGATTACGATGTAATCTTACATTTCTAAATCCTATCACAAATATTTTTTTTTAGATTCATAGAACTGTGATCTGTTCCAGTTTTTTTGGAGTAGACTCTGATGTGGTATGTGTGATATGTTGCATTTACTAGTATATGAGGAAAGCCAAAAGGTTAAAGTCAAGGTTGGAGTCTCAGGACTCTGATTTTTGAGGAATGTTTATTCTCTCAATTAAACATATACATACACTTGCCAGATGTCCAAGATCATATCATATTTTTGACATACAACCCATGTTTAAAGAGGTTGTTCTTAAGCTCTGGATGCTCCTGAAAACAGAACACTTGAAGACACTGTGTGCCTTTGGGCAGAAGCTTTGAGCTCATTGTGCCCCATTGATCAGGAGCTGCCTCCAAAGGCTCTGAAGGGCTCCATGGCTGCTGTCAACTGTGAAGAATCCAAGGTCAAAACTTGTTTAGTAAGAGCAGAAACTCCTTCAGCTTGGTTTTAGCTGCCCTGTAGTGTCCTTTGTGAGTCACTCACCCAGTTATAATCAGTGCAGAGAGAGACAACACCTGTAAGGCTGTCTCTTGCCCCAAGATTAGGTATTCCAGTCCAGCAGGAAGGCTGCTGCATGTCTGCTCATCACCTACAAGGAGAACCCAAATAACAGCCTTGACTAGATAGCTAGCATTTAGATAGTTTCCCTGTAGGCTGGAGCACCGCCAGCCAGCTAATTGAGAAGCAAAGACTGATGGAAGGTTTGTTCAGGTTTTGTTTATTTGTTTTTGTTTGTTTATGTTTTTTTTCAAAACCCTTTCCTTACCTTGGAGCACACACAGCCACTCCACTTCTCTGAGCCAGACATAAACCAGAACAATTAGTGCCTTCTCCACTGGATCTTACCACATGTAAAATAAGGATTATGAAATTACTTGTGATGGTTGTTACACCAGGCTGATGCCTGATCATTAGTCAGTGAATGCAAAAGGCTGTGTAATTCCTGGATCAAAGATTTGGACCCTTTTCCCTTTGGTTTAGGGATTTCCATTGCATTCATCACTTGATCTTAAATCCTGACCCTATAAACACTTCTGTATGTCCTTAATCTTTCTACGTGAGGTGTTTTCTTGATGAGATAATGGTATTACTCACTACACAGCTACTTATTCCAACTCACTGTATTTATAAACCAGGACTGTTTCTCAGAAGTTCCAAAGGTCAAAGCCGTGTATATGTTTACGTGAGATAACTCAGGTATTTTCCATTTGAAATATCTATTTATTAGCACTAGAAATAAAAAATATTTTCCTTTCAAAATATAGAAGATTTGTAAATATATAATAATAATAAAAATCTAGTAGTTTTAACTAACCTTCTTTGTTCCCATTTTCCTTTTATTGATATTCATTAAAGCTATTTCTCTGGAGAAAGGTTTAATTCACTAATGCTATTTCTCTGGAGAAGGGCTTAATTTTTCTACTACTGGTATTGGTGATATCTAGAGCTAAGTTCTGAGAAAGCTTAAATAAAAGATACATTTTTTTTATAGCTTCTTGTTTATTTTTTCAAATGGCCTGATATATTGCTCTGCATGCCTATCTTTGTGATACTGAAACCCAGCAAAAAGAAGCCTTACCGACCCAGATGTTTTTTTCTTGTAGAAAACTTGCTTTTCTCATAGGGGTCAAAATGTGATCAGGTTTTGAATTTTTATGGCAATGATTCTTTTCTTTTAATAATGCCTCGGTTTATATCGTCATGCCATTGCAGGGCATGCATTGGCATTTAAAGGCTTGCATTTAAAGAGAAAAAAATTGCAGGTAAACATAGGACCTGGAAAGTACACTCTGACTTTAGACTTTCCATAGAAGCAGCCTGAATCACGCTTCAGAAGAAAATGGCTTGTTTTTTCATCCAGTCTCACTTGGGGCAATTTTCAAGTTCTTGAGGCAGTCAAAACTTAATATCAGGTTTCACTGCTGGTAATTTCTTCATTAGTGTTGTATTGGCTTACATCCGAGGACTGCTTACTGGAACTGATGCTTTCAGCTTGTAGTAGAAATTAAAGTTGCTTTCATTTGGTATATCTCCTTAGGGGTCAAAACAGAAACAGCTCAAAGAGAAGGGAAGGGAAGGGAAGGGAAGGGAAGGGAAGGCAAGGCAAGGCAAGGCAAGGCAAGGCAAGGCAAGGCAAGGCAAGGCAGCTGCCACATAAGACTTCCACAGTCTGACTGCAAACACCTTGGGGTACCGAAGACTCCTGGGCATCTGCATGGGAAGGAGGGGTGAGAATCCCTTACTTCTGCCCCAACAAGGATTGGGTGGTATAGTATAACAAACTAGACACAGCCACACAGCTTCACCCTCTGCCACTCACATCCTTGACTGAAACTAGGACAGAGCAAAATAATCTTTTTCTGACCAGAAAACAGAAGGCTTAGGTCTTTAACTGCAGGCAAGGACCCCTAGGGATAACGATGGGGTGAAAAGGAAGCCACAGGTTTTTGAAACCTGGATGTAGCAAGGCTGTGTCCAGGTCTCAGCTGTGCTGAAGCACTCTTCCTGGGCAATACATTTCCTTCTCCACACTGCACTTGTTAAAAAGCTATAAAAACTTCTACACATCTGTCTTCCCCATGCAGAATATTGGACTTTCACCGCTACATAGCATTATTAATATGTCAAGACCCATATGAATAAATGACAGGCAGCACTACTCAGGGACTTTTCTTGCAAGGCAGGTGAGTACAGTATGGCCTTGAGGCTTTTCCCTGTGTTGTTTTGTGAGATGCTGTGCTTTTGTAGAATAGGAAAATTTGATTGGTCCTTTTAACACTCTTCGCTTTCTGACAGTCACAGCTCAGTTTGGTCTGTTCATGCTCTGACTTTAAGCCTGCAGCCAGGTCCTGACTGTCTCCTGTACTGAAAAAGTGCCGTGCATCACAAATATGCTACTTACAATATAGCTTATTTTACTTGTACATATGCCATAACTAAGAGCTAGTAACAGCTGATAATTACATATAGATTTCACATGAGTGAAAAACAAATGCCCTGCAGGCACCAGATTTGAGTGCTGAGTGCTCACCTCCATCAATTGTACAAAAAGCAGGGACAGCTATACAAAAGTCAGTAGCCTTATGCCAATGGCTTCCAGTGTCACCAGAGAGGGAGTTATCAGCCTTTCAAGGTCATCCCAGTCTATGACTAGCTGAAAGGCCGAGCAGAAACATCACAGAAGTCATGTAGAGTTGCCTTACCCACCTCTTGGCAGCATTCAGGAAAGAGATAGTTCACCTTTGGCAGGATTCTCCCCGCTTCTGACGCAGTAATCTTTCTGGATCTGCTTATTTTAAGTCTAGGCAGATGCTGAGGAGGAATCTGTGATGAATTCACACTCTTCATCTAGCTGAATATTCTGGGTATGTTTCCTTTGATGTTCATACAGAGGCTGAGACTCATGGCTGGAAAAATATTGCTACATTTCCTGTGTATATAGTGCATCTGTCAAAAGGTGTGAAGATCCTCTATCTAGTCAAGACACTTCTTGTGTTTGCCATTCACCCGGCACAGCACTTAGGAAGATCATCACAGGTTTCCCTTCTACTGTAATAAATGTTATTGACTAGCAGGCATTGAAATGCTGGTAGAGCACACTGGCTAGAGTAGAAGAGCCATACAGACCTATCTGCATCTATGAACTGCATAAAAACACACTCCAAGTCATTCCAGTCATTCTGAAAAACAAAACAAATGCACAATGTGTAACACTATTCAAAATCACAGCCTTAAAGCTCTGTGCCATAAAGATGACAGCAGTGAATATCATGCATAAATTTAACAAGTTGGAAAGAATAATCAACCCGTGCTTACATAACAGTTGCATGAAAACTTCCTAAAAAAATTTGCCATCATGGCTACAGCCCTCCTTTGTCTAGAAAGGTAGCCATGTCCCAGCAGCCCCAATCAGTGAGGGGGGAAATGACCCTCTTTCCCACCAAGGTAGCTGGTGAAATAACTGAGCTGCATAACACCCACTGGCAGCCTGTAGAAAGCTGGCTGAATCTGGTCACAAGGTCTGCTGCTCCAAAACAAGGTCTTAGGAGCTTTTCTTTCAGAGTCCTGGGGTGCAGACAAGAAAAAAGTTATAGACAGAGCTGGCTTAATAGGTTAGAACTCCAAGCAGTTGTCCAAGACTCCAAGACATCAGGGCCCTGCTTGGTCCAATTTATCCGAGGGGCATCCAGCAAAGGGCCTGAGCCCTTTGCCCAGGCTCCCTACAGCTCTGACACCACCTGTACAGCAAAGCTGCTGTGCTTCCAAACAAGCTCAGCAGCAGAAATGCCAGAAAAGATGAATCTAATCTTTGCTGACCATCCCAGATGCTGCACTGGACATGCTCATCACCACAAGCTCTCTCATGTGGATGTTTTTACATCATGAATGTAGACATTGCACCATGGCATACCACCATCCAGATATCCTTACAACACCAGAGCTGTCCAAGCCAAAGTTCTGGGGAAATCCAGAGCTCTCCAGATGGCCAGTGCCATCTTCTTGTGTCCTTCACTTGAATCTTTACACAAGTATTTTGGAGAACATGGGATGAGATGGGGCCATCTGGATTGTCAACATCGCTGCAGCTGAGTGCAGCACACCGCCCAGTTTAGTCAGAAACACCCAGGATGATTTCCTTCTTATAACCCCTCAGAACATTCCCCATTCCCCAACTCACACCTGTGCAAAGTCCAAGAAAAGTAAGGCTGGAAATGATGCCTACCTCTTACAACTGATGCCACCAGAGACCCTGATGCCCCCCATGGTCATGCAGAGCTCTGAGCAGAGAAGATTGTGCAGTGCCCAGCATACAACACTGCACTGGACAGCGCTGGGATGGAGAAGAGGGGCTTACACCTGCCACCACAGTACTCTATTCCAGAATTAATTTGCATTTGCTCCTTTCTGGCTTGCTGAGATATTTTCTCAATACAAGCAACATGCTGTACTTTCATCTCTGCTTTTTAAAGGTGTCTGATTGGTTGCATCTGAAAATAAAAGATTATAGTGTCTTTTGATAATTTATGTTTCCTCCTTTAAAATGAAGAATCTACTGTTGGGGATCCTTTCTGAGTTCTAAATTCCTCCCTCTACATCTCCCACTTGGCATGGACCCGTGTTATCTTTTTTTCCCAAAAGCCAAGCACCATTGAAGTCTCACAGAGTACACCAACAAGACCTGACTGCAGTCCTGGTGGTCCAGCTGCACAGGGGAAGGCTTTCTCCACATGCAACTTTCTAAATGATACTTTGCAACTTTTTAAATGGTGTAAGAGTCACAACAAAGTGATGCTGTACAGGATATGCTGAGAGGCTGACATGTCCCATTTATTATTTTGCTAAGAGCTTCCCCTTTTCAGGATGTTGAGAGCCCCCACCCTCAGCCTGTGAGTACCTTTGGTTCCCTGCATCTCCAAGGTGCTCTCTGGATTGCAGTGGGTTGCTGCAGCTGCTGTGGTAAGTGCTCACATAAAACCTCTGCTGGACTGAGTGCAAGTCAAAGCAGCCCTTGAGTAGGCTTCACTCATTCAGCAGGCTCCTGGGGAATATTTCTCAATGTCTCATTTTACAGCCTGTCTTTTCCTGCACTCAGCCTGTATAGTCTGTAATATTCCCTCATTCCCTCCAGCTTCATGTGGACCATGATCTGAGTGACCACTGACCCACACAGATCTCCTGGAAATATCCTTAAATCCTATGTGCTTAGAGAGGAAGGTGCCTAAAAGGAGCCACGTGTACTCAGTGCCAGATTCCTGGGCTTTGAGAGAGCATACAGGGACAAGGAGTCCACCACCAAAAAAGCCTATCCTTGTTCAGGAGCCTGCCCCACTGCATAGCCAGGGGTGAAGGAGGAGATACCAGGTGGACACCCCGGCCGCTGGCTCTGCACATCTCCACATTCCCTGCACACAGCCATGTGTGTCACCAGTGGCAGAGGATCCTCCAGCCTCTGTTATGCTTTGGAACTACGTTTGTTAATTGTTTCTCAAGTTCAGTTTAGGCAAATGCCATTTTAGCATAATTTTATTTACACAGGGGACAGATTAAACCAGTAATAATAACGACACATATTAGGTGCAGCTGTTCTATTTTCTCCCCCCAAGCAGGCCTGCAGCACTGTTTCCTAATTTAAGTCCTGGTGCTACAAATCTGAGTAAATTTTACACATGGGAATATTTCCTCTAGACTTGGTGGAGGCTGCTCAGATGTAAAAGCTGGATTTTCTCACAATATTCTAAGGACTGAACCCATACTTTAAGTGACCCAGGTTAACCTAATTTTTGCCCATATGAAAAAAATAAATCACCAAATAAGGCCAAGGAATCCTCTGTTACTTTTCTGACCAAGTTTTGCCTAATTATTTAATCATAGTCATGCCAGTATAAACAATGTGTTTCACTTTGGAAACAGTCTTGCAAAAGTCTGATGAAGATTGTCTGTATCTCATATTAATGATGCATAAATCTTAAATACTTTATCTCTTAAAAAGCAAAAGAAATGAAATTTTTGTTGGTGATGAGGTTTTTTTTCTGTTTGTTGGTTAATTGCTTTTTTTCCTCTAAACCAAGAACAGTAGATGATTTCCCAAGATAATGAAACAAAAAAGAGATAAATTCACAGTCAACCTCCTTAATGTGTACCCAAAGATGGTGAATATATATACTGTGGAGTGACATACTTTTTATGTATTTTTAATTTGTATCCCTAACACATTTTTTAAAAAAGAACAGAAATTAAGAGAAATTGAGGACTAACATGGGAAACTGTAGAAAATCTTTTATATCCTTTTAATTAAATTTATTTCCATTTATAATTATTGTATAACTTACAGCATAAAATTATTTTAGAATAGCCTGAATTTCTGCACATCTAAATGTATTTTTCCATACAATAGGAATAATTTTTCTTTCAGAAAAGCCATCACACTGGACCTTATAAATTGTGGAGTGATCCTCACACAGCAGGTATAATATAAAACATTCTGCCATGATTAATCTTTTCTTTAATAAGGACTGAAGACTAAAAAGTTTAAGTTTCTAATAGCTCAGGAAATTTTCAGGATGTTCCATAGACATTTCAGGACATGACCCTCAGTTGGATAACAGAGTTGTAGCTCATTGAGTTTCTTGTCTAGCTGTTGATAATGACTTCTATTATTTTTTCCCATTTGTAATTTTTTAAATTCAATTTTCCTGTCATTGCTTTGTGCTGTTTTTTAGTTTCTACCTTCTCTGACTATGATAGGAAAAAGCATTGAGCTATTGTGGGCACTAGGAGATGGGGGCAGGGACAGGCAAATTAATTCTGCACAGGGCATTCGGCACTCTTTTAATTTTGCAGACTTGTCTTTTCTACTTAACAACATTCCCACTTAGCAACACAAAAACATATTTGCATTTAATAAAGGGGAAACCAGATGAGAAAGTAAAGCAGATCTTGCTGTGACCTTAATAGATTGTGAAAAAGAAAAGAAATGTATTTCAGTGCTTCTTGTAGCTAGAGGCCAAAGCCTCTGGCTTGTTGTTGCAAGGACACTGTTACCACTACTAATAATGGGAGATCAGAGAGAGGATGTAACTGGAAGGAGCAGTTTATGGAAAAAATGACCATTCCTCTATTAGATTCAATCACATACAGGCACAGAATGGTTGGTGTCACAATTCTACAGTTGAACGGCAAGAAACGAGTTGTTGCTGGATCACTGTGGGTACATCAACAGCAAAACAAAAAAAAGTGGCTAAATAGTGCAAAATATACTGTGAAAACAGGAAGGAAGAGCATGTAGGTGGGACCATATGGCACAAGCTTCTTCAGTAGCTATAGAAAACTCCTCTTCAGAGAATGAAGAAATAAGAGCTTGATATAGAAGTGTTTTCCCATGCAAAATACTTACTTATAATAGAACATGGAGGGAATCAAACTTGAGGCTCCTGCTAGGATCTGTATCTTTGCTGGGGGTTTTTGGGCCACGTGGATTGAGGAGCACTAGCAGAGACGCAAAATCAGTGACAAACACAGGAATTATGCTTATGTGCCTGACTACAACAAATGCAAAGGGAATTCATCCTGTGGTTGGATGAAGTTTTATTCCTAAGGTTGGGAATAAAACCTGCTTTTTGTCTTTATTGTTTTCACTAAACATAGCATCACTTTTTGGAGGAGAAATTGTGCAAAAATTGATTTCTTTTCTTCCTTCTTTGTCAGAAAGATAGAAATTCCATGCCATTTCATTTGTGGAGAATTCCTGAGACATTCAGTCACAACAGAGAGGATGGAAGAAAACCTAGGACGGGTGTGCATGTTGAGTGAGGCAACACAGATGGTCCTTGCCAAGAAGTATGAGCAATGTGAAACCCTGTGAAGATACAATGTGAGGTTTGCTGGAATACTGGGGTTGCAAAGCCCGGGATGTAGCCACAAGAAACATAAGGCAGGAATTGTTTTCTGCTGTTGTGAGTGGTTTCAGCATTTAGGACCTGAATTTGTCAAAGAGGACCAAATTGAATTCCCATATGACTGTAAGAAAATGCATAAGAACCTCACCTTGGGCAAGAGAGAGGGTTTTGGATTCATGAAGGACACATGGGAAGGAGGAGGGGGAGAGAAGAGAACAGTTTAGAAAAGCAAGGACCTGGATAGTGCAATAGGAAAAAAGGGAATGATAAGAAATATGATAACA